TTTTGTGGGAAAGTTCTCTCGCTCTCTCTCTTTCTTCTTTCCCTCTCTGGCTATCCCCCAGTTTGTGTTGCTATCTCACATTAACTCCCTCAGATTGTCCTCAGGGCATTCAGGCCCAGTCCTTACCCTAAGCAATGCAGCCCACGCCTCCCGGATTAGTCCCTGCTCGTTTCTGGTGGATGCGAGCGTCTGGGTTACTTCTCCCCTGGGCGTTGTGATTAGGTGTGTAATCTGTGGGTTTTTTGTTTTCTTCTTTCCCTCCTGGCTATGTTGCCCTCTGAGATTCCAAAAACTCCCCACAGACCTGCCGGTGAGAGGGTTTCCTGGTGTTTGGAAACTTTCTTCCTTCATGACTGCCTCCCCGGGATGGGTCTCTGTCCCTAACTTTTTGTCTCTCTTTTCATCTTTTATATTTTGTTCTACCTCCTTTAGAAGACAATGGGCTGCCTTTCTGAGTGCCTGGTGTCATCCGCCAGCGTTCAGAAGTTGTTTTGTGGAATTTGCTCAGCACTCAAATGATCTTTCGATGAATTTGTTTGGGGGGGAGAGTTCTCCCCGTCCTATTCCTCCGCCATCTCAGGGCCGCCTCCCTAATTCGGTTGAAATGTAACCCGATCTGATTGCTTATGTGAGTGTGCCCAGTTTCTCCAGTCTTTTCCGACTCTTTGTGACCCCATGGACTGTAGCCTGCCAGGCTCCTCCGTCCCTGGGATTCTCCAGGCAAGAATACTGGAGTGAGTTTCCATTTCCTTCTCCAGGGGATCTTCCCAACGCAGGGATTGAACCTGTATCTCCTCCATCTTGTGCGTCTCAGGCAGACTCTTTACTGCCGAGCAACCGGGGAACGCCCTGATTGTTTATACTTAGAGGTAATGCTGAGCCTCTCTTGGGTGAAGTGACTGACTCCTCAGATAACCTCTCTGCCCCTGCATCACCCCTGAAGCCCCTGGGGTATGGGATGGAAGTCAGGCACACACAACTCCTGATCTTTGGGATGCATTCCCTGGTGTCCTGGTGGTTCTATGGGGCTGGGGCATTGGCTGGGCTCACTGGGCCTCTGTCCCTCTAAATGCTGCTTGCTCTGCCAGCCTTCCGAGGACAGCCTGAGGGTGGAATAATACATAAAGCATTCCTCCCACTGGTCAGAGCCCAGTCACTGCCTGGAGGACTTGTCCTCATCTTGGATCCTACCAGCAGCAGTCCAACCTCCAGCTCACCTGTCCTCTGGTCCATACCAAGCTCCACTCCAGAGCCACCCACCTGCTTCAGCAGCAGCCTAGGAGCCCCACCTGGTGTCAATACAGCATCCTACCCCAGGGTACCTGGTGATACCACTCCATCCACTCCAACGAAGTAACTAAGGTGGTTCACAGGCTCTTATTTCCCCCAAAACAGCAGACTTGAGAAATCCCCTGCTGCTAATATGACCTAATTTAAATATGAAATAAACTTCATTCAAAAAATTAACTCTGCAAAATATTCACCATTGTTAAACTTAGGAGATGGGTATTTGTTATATAAGATCATCCCTGGTGGCTCAGTGGTAAAGAATCCACCTACGATGCAGGAGACACTGGTTCGATCCTTAGGTCAGAAGGATCCCCCTGGAGAAGGAAATGTCAACTCACTCCTGTATTCTTGCCTGGAGAATCCAATAGACAGAGAAGCTTGGAGTCCCAAAGGGTTGGACACAGTAACTAAACAACAACAGTAATTCGTTATTGTTCTACCTTTCTTCATGTTTAAAAATTTTAACAAAGAAGTAAAGAAAGAAAAAATTAAATAAATAAACAAGCACACACATGAAATTTAAGTCTTTGTTTTTCAAAATTACCAGAAAGATTCATGAGTATACAGCCAGTATAAAGTAAAACCTCAGACTCTGAGCCCATTAAGATGGTTATATTTTTTCACACCTAGGAAAAAAATTCACCAAAGTCACTTAATGCTTCAAGGAGGCCCAACAGTGGCTGTAGGCCAAACTGGGAAAACCTTTTAATCTATCTGGGGTGAGGCCTGGCCATTTCCAGATTTCTATTCCCTCATTTCTAAAATGAGAAACTTGTACTACATGATACACATGAGCACCATCTAGCATGAGTCAGGCACTTGACATGTTTTCTCCCTAATTTTGAGCACAATTATTGAAGATATGGGGTTTCCCAGGTGGCTCGGTGGTAAAGAATCTGCCTGACAATGCAGGAAGATGCAGGAGATGTGGGTTCGACCCCTGGGTCAGTAAGATCTCCTGGAGGAGGAAATGGAAACCCACTCCAGTATTCTTGCCTGAGAAATCCCATAGACAGAGGAGCCTGGCAGGCTACAGTCCATGGGTTTGCAAAGAGTTGGACACGACTGAGAACACACACACACACACACACACACACACACACAAGATAGATATTAATATCTGCATCTTTAGATGGGCAGTTTTATGCTCAGAGAGATAAGTGATTTGCTCAGGCCACATTAATCATCAACCATGGAGAAAGGATTCGGCCACCATCTATGCAATGTCAAAGTCACCATTTTCCCACTGCAGGATTGTACTTCTTGTGAGACGTCTAGGGCTCCTTCCCAGGACTCCCACAGATGGCTGTGCAGGTTGAACCTCATCTATGGGAGAACTGCTCACATCTATCCCATCCTCCACTGGCCTGTTGTGGCCTGAACCCTGCAGATGCTTCCATCAGAGAAAATGCTTTTTCCTCCTGTTCACCAAGGTGGCTGACAGGCTCACAGCACCTCAACCCAGTCCATGCACAATCAAACTGTTAATCATAATATTACTTTATGACATTGGTTATCAGGGTTACAGTCTATGATCTACATCCTTGTAGTCAGTAGTTTTTTTTCTAGTGGTGGTGGTGGTGGTGTTCAATTGCTAGGTCGTGTCTAACTCTTTGTGACCCTATGGACTGTAGTACCCCAGGCTTCCCTGTCCTTCACCATCGCCCTGAGTTTGCTCAATTTCATGTCCATCGAGTTGGTGATGCCATCCAACCATCTCATCTTCTGCCGCCCCCTTCTCCCTTTGCCCTCAATCTTTCCCTGACCAGGAAAACTCATTTTCCACTGAGTTAGCTCTTCGCATCAGGTGGCCAAAGTATTGGAGCTTCAGCTTCAGCATCAGTCCTTCCAATGGATATTCAAGGTTGATTTCTTTTCGGATTGACTGGTTTGATCTCCTTGCAGTCCAAGGGACTCTCAAGAGTCTTCTCCAACACCACAGTTCAAAAGCATCAATTCTTCGGTGCTCAGCCTTCTTTATGTTCCAACTCGCACATCCATACATGACTACTGGAGAAACAATAGCTTTGACTAAACGATGCACATCATGAAATATCCTTCCTGCCCCTGTTGTCTGTGCTCCACAAAGGTGGGGATTTTGTGAGTTTCTTTCTGCTGTTTCCAAGTTCTAGCACAAGCAGTTGCCTGATAAACACTAAATACACTATTAAGTAAGTTATTGTACATTTCAGATTTGTCCCTGAATGTCTGTACTGTGACGGGTTAAATTGTGTCCTGTCCCAAATTCAGATATTAACATTCCAACCCCCAGTGACCATGTTTGAAAATAAAGTCTTTGCAGATTTAATTCTTTAATTGAGGTCTTGAGAGTGAGTCCCTAATCCAGTTTGACTGGTGTCATTACAAGGAGTTGAAATTTGGACACAGGTCTTGGGAAGATGAAGGCATAGACCAAGTGATGCTTCTACAACACAATGAAGTGCAAAGATGGCCCATTCATCTCCAGAAGCTGGGACAGAGGTGTGGGACACATTATCCCACACAGACTGAGAAGGCAGCTGCCCTGCTGACACTTTGATCTGGCCTTTTCTATGGCTTAACCCACCCAGTTTGTGGCTCTCTTTTATCGTAAGCACAGGAAACCACTACATGAATATCTGGTTGATATCTGGTTGAATATCTGGTTGACTGGTTGATCACTCTCCAGGTCAGGTATAACTTGCACACAATTGAAGATATTGAAATGTTATCATATGTTTTATCATCATTAAACATGAAGAGCTGACTCATTTGAAAAGACCCTGATGCTGGGAAAGATTGAAGGCAGGAGGAGAGGGGGACGACAGAGGATGAGATGGTTGGATGGCATCACAGACTTGATGGACATGAGTTTGGGTAAGGTCCGGGAGTTGGTGATGGACAGGGAGGCCTGGTGTGCTGCAGTCCTGGGGTCGCAAAGGGTTGGACACGACTGAGCGACTGAACTGAACTGAATGGTGGTGTAATAGTCTACTGTGTACATAAGGAAAGTGTTCAGTACCTGGGTATCTTAGATGGGCACTTGAGTTGTGTCGACCTTTGGCCATTGAGAATAATGCTGCTGTGAATATGCATGAAACAGCTCCTGGTGGTTGGATGTTTTAATCCTTTGGGCACACTCCTAGGAGAGGAAGTTGCACTTTTCTTATCATTAATGATTCTTATACTAAATGTCCTCCATTTCACATGCTGTGTGGTTTCCTTTCATCTTTTGGTGGCCCAAACTTCAGGGCCTTTTTGCTGGACAGGTGTCCCCTGGGGCAGGGGAGGAGTCTGGGGTTGGACTCCCAGTTTGATCCACGCACCAAGCCTGCACGGCAGCTCCCTTCATTGCACAGTAGGCAGAGCCAGGCCCTTGCAAGAGTGTGGCCACCCTGGGGTGGGTGCCCAGCATGCAGCAGTGGACTTGCTGAGATCTGGCAGCGTTGCAGGCCTTTTGGTATCCCTGTGGATTATTGCTTCTGTCTTTGGGAGAACACCTGGCTTTGACTCTTGCAAGTGAAGCAGGAGTGTGAGCATGTGTGAAGCTACCATCTGTGACAGGAGAGGAGAGAGAGGGCCGGCTCCAGTGGGCAGGGGAAGACATAGGTCCTTAATGCGATTTTATTTAAGAAGTCAGAACACCCCCATCCATCCATTTCTTGCCATTAGCCCACCAGCTTAGCAGCTGTTCCCCTCATCCCTCTAGGCTGCTTTTCTGTATCCTGGGACCAAGAATCTGCCAAGGGCTCACCACTCTTGAAAGTGAATGAAGAACGTGCGGATCTCCTTCGGGTAGATGGTGATGTTGGGGCCTCCCAGGGCTGGTAAGGGACGACTGAATTTGCCTGGGAGCAGAGAGGGTCTGTCCAGCACAGCCCCTGGACCACCTGCTTCCCGAGGCCCCCTCCTCCCAGCATCCCCCTGGCAACACGGCGCCTGCTCCGTCTGTGGCTGCCACTGTGACCACAGCCCTCAGCGGCCCCCTCTTGATAGGACTCCACTGCCGGGGAGGCCTCTTTCATATCTGGCCTCCCCTGAGGGCACAGCACAGTTGAGGCATGTATCTCCTTGGCCTCGTATCTCCATGGGTTGTGGCACCATATATATGGCTAAGAGTAGTCTTCTTACTGAGGCCATGAGGGGGCCCTGCCCTTGATCTCAATGGGCTCTCCTTAGACGCACCCTGGAGTTTAGGCTTTATGCTTGGGATGAAAGTTGTTCATCCATTCATCCACACATGCTACCATCCATCCATCCACCCCTGAATCCAATTCCTCCACCCATCCATTGTTGTCACTCCATCCAACCTCCAGTCATCCATCAAACATCCAACTTCTTTCCATCTGTCCTCTCATCCATCCACCCATGCATACATCATCCATCCATGTTCCTTTCTTCATTCCATTCATCTTTCATCCATCCATTATCCAACCATGTATCTTCCTGCATCCATACTTTCCTTCCTTCCTTACATCCTTTTTTGCCAATTAAATACCCTTCATTCCATCAGTCTATAATGCATTGGCTAGGTGTCTACCAAAATCACTGCAGATGGTGACTGCAGCCATGAAATTAAAAGACACTTGCTCCTTAAAAGCTATGNCTGGTAAACACTGGGAGGCAAGAAGTAGCCTGGGGTTCACGGGAGTAAGTGTCGGGTGTGCAGACACTGCACGCCATGGAGGGCATCACAACCCCTCGGGGTACACATGCAAACCTTGGGCTCATCTGGACATGGGTGGGGGGTGTGGTCTTGAACACACATGTGCACACACATTCACACAGCCACACACACATGGACACACACACTCTGTGTGGAGCCCTGGAAGATGGAAACTGAACTGAAACTTAGAGTCTAAAAACTTCTTTGGCTGATGCAGGAAGGCTGAGACCCAGAGAAGGAGGATGGCCAGCTCCAGGTCACACAAGGCCTCAGGGGCAGGGCTGGGGTCTGGATGGGGGTCAGGCTGGGGACCCAGGGCAGGGTCAGGACCAGGCAGAACCTCTGTAGCGGTGAAAGTCCCGCGTACTCCAGGTCCAGCGATGTATCTTCCTCACGTCCCAGGTCCCTGTGAGCGAACGCTCCTCCACAGACACCACGGAGCCCAGTCCCCGCAGCACAGACTGCAGGACAGAGCAAGGGAGGGGTGAGCACCCGGACCCCAGACCTGAGCAGAGACCCTGACGCAGCAGGGCGGCCGCACCAGGGCCCAGGGCCCAGCATCCCTCACATTCATTGCAGGGCAAGTCCCTGCAGGAGGAGGGGCAGCCCCATTTTACAGGTGAGGACCTGAGGCTGGGGCAGCTGATGCCCCAGTGCTGGCTGATCAGCACGCCCAGCAGGTGGCGGGCACATTGAGCCACTCCAGCATCGAGTGCCTGTCTCTCCGCGATTCTCCCAGGAGCCCTGCGTGGTCCTGGGATGATGTCAGTTATGTTCTGCATCCCTTTTTCCCGAATAAGCATCAAACCAGCCTCCAGGCTGAGAGGGGAGGTGGATGAACAGTCTTCCTGGGAAGAAAGGACAGGCGGCTGCCCCAAGGGCGGGGGTTGTTCTGCAGGACCTTCCCTGAGCTGGGGGAGGGGAAGGCGTGGAGGGCAGGCTCCCTGTGCTGCCCCCATCTGCCCTCTGCCTTTACATCTGCTCCTGAGGGCCGTGCCAACACGGGAGGGCAGAGGTCGGGGTCGGGACACTGACACCCATCGTCTGATGGGTGCTAGGTGCCAGGCACCTGTGTGCACACAGTCCCTCCGTAGCCTCTCAGCATCCCTGTGGGCAAAGACTCTCTCCTCCCCATTTATAGGTGAGGAGACTGAGTCCCAGAACCCAGGGGCCCACGAAGCCCAGAGGAGGCACCCAGACTCGCCCCTGGACTGTGTGATCACCCACTAGGGAGTCTGCAAGAATCTGTTCACTTTCTTATTATGCATGAAACTTCTGTGTTGTGTAAGAAGATGTGCTACAAGAAAAAATGATAAACAAAATACTTCTGTGTTACGTGATGGTAAATTCAGAAGACCATTGTGAGGGAGGGTGAGGGACCCCCAGGTTCCTTTGTGAGACCACCCTGATGTGGTATTTGCCAGGTGCCATCTGAGTCTGGATAGTCACACCAGACGGTATGACTCCCGAGGGTGCATCCTCCTGGGGGCCTGACTCTGTGATGTCGGAGCAGGACACGGAAGGCAGGTTACCTGCAGGTTCACCGTCACAGGCTGAGACAGCACAGGGTCCTGGTCCACCTCATACAGGTGCTGGAGCCGCAGCAGGACACGGCGGAGGTCTGCCTTGGCCTTGTGCTTTCGGTCTTAGGGACAGAAGGAATGTGGCCATGAGGACAACAGTGTCTGCCTGGCACTTTACACTCTCACCTCCATTTCACTTCAACCTCCCTCGGAGGCAGCTAACACAGCCCCACTTTGCAAATGAGCCAAACCAGGCTCAGAGAGGGGGGGCACTTGCCCAGACACACAGCTGGTGTGCATCAAGAAGGAGCGGGGCTGGGGGGCGGGGGGGATTCCAAGCCTTGGCCTCGCAGTTTCGGTCTTAGGGACAGAAGGAAGGTGGCCGTGAGGACAACAGTCTCTGCCTGGCACTTTACACTCTCACCTCCACTTCACAACTTCAACCTCCCTCGGAGGCAGCTAACACAGCCCCACTTTGCAGATGAGCCAAACAAGGCTCAGAGAGGGGCGAGCACTTGCCCAGATACACACAGCTGTGTGCATCATGAAGGAGCGGAGAGGATTCCAAGCCAGGTGCAGCCAAAGTGACCGCCTCCCACTGCCCACACCAGGGCTGTTCCAGCCATCTGAAAGTCTTCGTTCTTGTTCACTGAGGTGAGGTCCTCATTGGGCCTGTCCCTCCAGCCTCCTGTTCCCTGGAAGATTCTCTCTGCCCCAGCCCCTGTGAAGGGGGGTGTGGCCTTGTAACCCTGAGGATGAGGCACCATCACAAACGTGACTGTACACAGTCACTGCTGTGTTATTTCTGCCACTGAGACGGAGGAAATGTGTTGTAACACAGCTCCCACTGCCAGTCCTTTGAGACCCAGTGAGAAGGGCCATCCTGCCAATCCCCTGAACACGGGGACAAAATGACCTGTGCTGTGAGAGGACAGTGATGCTGTGGGCTCCTTGTTACTTTGCATAAGAAGTCTGCAATGTCTCTTGTCTTAGTGCCGAGGTTAGGGACTGGAGCTCTAGAATCAGGGAAGGACTTCCCAGGGCAGAACATGAGGTTGATGAGGATAATGGTGATGAAGGTGGTGGAGATGATAATGATAATGATGGCAATGATCATGCTGGTGGAGATTCCTTGAGGACTCAAGCATCATGAGAGGCAGCAGGCCTCACGGCATCCCTTGTGGCTGTGGCTCCCCTGGCTCAGTCTATACCGATCTCTCTCTAACAGGATGGGCTTGACCAGCCCAGCCACTTTTGTCTACAGAGTTGAGCCACACTCAGCAACAGCCCTCTATCAGGGACAAAGATGACCTTTGGCCTCTGCCTCTTTTTCCTCCTTCTTCCCATTCCACAGACACTTATGCTGGAGGGTGACAGCCCCTGGTGGGTCTCTGAGAGCAGGAGGGCGGCTGAGGCATAGTGAGCCCTGCCGTTGAGATACACGGAATGTAACAGAGCACGTAGGGTGGAGCAGACGCCTTGGTGATATGACTAATGGGTTCCTGGCAGTTGTTTCCTCCTCCAGGAAGCCCTCCCTGATCACCTGCTGGGGGCTTCCCTCTGTACACAGTCACTGCATACGATGTTATCCAGACCCACCTTGTTCCTGCTTGCTGAGTGACCTGCCTCCCTGAGGGCCTCAGATCCCTCATTGGACAGATAAGGGAACCAGGTGACCTCACAGAGCCTGGACGACTCTGAGGAGAGCCCCTCTGTCCAGTGATGGGCTGGGAGTGGGGGAGGCTGGCATGTGGCACCTTTCTGGAGAGTCCGCAGGTGCTCTGTGTGGTTTGAGCTGTACTTCCAGCCGGGGATGCTGAGGATCTGCAGGTGGACGCTTGGGGGCAGCGTCACAGCCTCTTGCTGCCTGGAGCCTGAGCCACGCGGGGCAGTCTCTGCAAGGCAGATGGACAACAAGGAGAGGCTTTGGGCCAAACTCTCCTCCTGACACTCACAGCTCGCCACACTAAGTCCCCCGCTTCGTCTGATCTCACTCCCTCCCACGTGTGGTCCACAGGGCAGGCAGCCTGAAGCACCTGTTCATGCAAAAGCCCCAGCCTGCCTTGACTCTCTAGTCCAGCCGGTTCAAACTGCAGCCCGGGAGATGGGACCAGAGAGAAGACGCCATTTCTCCCAGAACTTGCAGGGAGTTCACACAGAGACCTGCTCTGTGAACAAGGTCTCAGACGCCAGCTCCCGTGCTGACATCTATCGCTGCCTCTGCCCAGACGGACTCAGCCCTCCTCTTCCAGGAGACGCTCTGGGCTCCAGCTGGAGCCGCCATGGCCTCACAACTCCCAGGCCTCAGTGATTGGTCAGGCTTGGGTCACGTGATTCAATCGGGGCCAATCAGAGCCTTCCCTGGGATCTCTGCCCGTGGCACCGGCCTCTCAGTTCCTTCGGTCCCAGAGCTGTTCACGGCCACGTCCCGGACAAGAGCAGAAAGAGGGTGTGCAGACAGCGAAGCTCAGGTGACAGAAGCAGGGAGGGAGAGCCGCATGAGGGGCCCAGCACCGAGGAAGCAATACACGCTCCCCTTCCCTGAGGTGCGTCTGCCCCGGAATAAAGGCTCCTCTGGCTCCGTCTCAGACCTTCGGTTTCTCCGTGTGCAGGTGGAAGAGCCCAGGGTCAAACCTGGGACGAGCTGACCACAGCCGTGGACGGGACCGTGGG